CATATTTTCTATATTTATTTGAGGCACAGATTCGTTTTGGTTTAAATCGTGTATAATCATTTCAGGCAGAAATGAAGGTAACATGAAAGTAGCATCCATTATAGATACAGATGATAATCCAGTATAGATTTCTCAAATTTCTTAAATTTACATCAAGTTTCACTTAACTCTCCTTAATAAAATTAATTTTAATCATTGGGTTGGCAGAAAAAATTTTAGTCCTTTAAACCAATGTTTTAAAAGCCGGACCGAATATTGAGCCGGAAAAGCCAGTGGGTCATGATTCAAACGGTTAGATCGGTTAGACCGTTTGGTTGAACCGGTATCATAATAATTAATTAAAAATATTATTTTATATAATAATATAGACATAATTAGTCGAAAATGATAAAAAAATAATAGTATAAATATGGATGTTTTAGATAAAAATAAAAATAGTAAGAATAAAATTTCAATTATGTAATAATTATAATTATGTTTTTTTCAATGAAGTTTGTACTAATATCTACATGAGATGTTACATCGTATTGGGCATTTCAAATCTTAAAACAGGGGCATACTTTTTAAATTCATAAAAAATAAAAAAATTGATATTTTTATTTATTTGTTAAAAATAATTTGAAGATGAAATGCTTTTTTTCTTGATTTTTTTAAATGATAAGATACTGAAAAAAAAATTACGTTGGACGAAGGATAAGATACACCTGAAAAGAAGAAAAAGTTGCAGTGATGTTTGCTTTTATCCAGTGAATATTGCTGCAATGCAATTTTATATCCATCAGTTATTGGATAATTAAATGCATCCCTTTCTTCTTCACTTGTATCTTTCATTTTCGTCTTTCTTACTTCCTTTTTCCACTTTTTCACGAACAAAACACAGCTACAAATCCATTTCGATTTCTTCGGTATGGACTATGGAGCTTAGGATATAAGATCTTTGCTTCTCTTCTTCTTCTTTTCTAGGTACTAGTTTTTATGGGCAGTGGTTTGATAATTTCTCTCGTTTTCTTCCTCTTCCTTCGTCTTTCTTCTTCGTTGCCGGTGGTTGCTATTATGAAGAAAACTCAGGCCGGCCAGTTATTATAAAACCGTTTCGGGTTCCGGGCTAACGACGGTTTCTAGCTCAAAGGCCGGCTCATAGCGGTTCAAAACGAATTAACACTCAGAACGGTTTTTACATGCGACTCAAGCTGCCTTTACCTCCGGTCAACGGTTGGTCCGGTCGGACCGTCCAGTCCGGTCCGGTCCTGAAAACATTGCTTTAAACTTAACACTAATAAAAAAATATTAACTCAATCTTTTTAAAATGCTGACATATTAATTTTTAATTTAAAATATCTAAAAAATATTTAAAATAAAACTTTATTTTTATTAATAATTTTGCAATTTTATAATTATGAAATAAAAAATTTTCCTTACTTTTTATTGTGGAAAAAATTATCTAATTAATCTTAAAATTTAAATCATTTGAAAAGTTATAATTATTTTAAAGATTAGTGTTAACTTTTATACTAAATCTAATATCATAATTTTAAAACCTACTTAAAAATCAATAAGTCGTAATTTAAGATATTTTTAGATTAATAATTTTATGAAAATTTAAAAGTAAATCTTATAGAACTATGTTAGAAAATTTGATCATAGGAAATAATTATATCTGATGGCATCTTTAATTCTTGGTAGAAAAAATGGCATCTTTAATTAGGTTTTATTATAAATATTTTTTTAATTCACATATTTGAAATTAAAAATTAACATGTCAATATTTAAATGCTAAATCATCATTTTGAAATTGTTGAGTTAACATTTTATGTTAACAAAGTTAACAGTATTAAATTTAATGGACCAAAAATACACATTTTAGACTTGTAATACTAAACTAAAACTTGAAATAAACTTAAAGAAGTAAATATATACTTTAAGCCTTTTGCCAATATATTTATTACGTTGTACTTCAACAAACGTTGTATAATTGGTTTATTGAGGTGTGGATTACTGATTCTGTTAATTTTAATTAATTTTTAATGTATTAAGTAATATTCGTTTTCATGCATTTACATTATATATAATAATTCTTTTATAGCTTACATATATGAGGATGAGAAAATTATGTTGAAGAACCTATCTCTAAGTCAGTATTGTTTTTCTTTGACCTTGTTCAAAATTTATTTTTTTGGGCAAAAGCTCAAAATTTATTTTCAGGCACCATAAAAATTATATTATATTGAACGAACAAAATAAACTAACTAACTTTCTTATCGTCATAAAAACTGGTGGCACTTTCATATCCCTTCCCCTATAGTTGTCACTCTGAAATTTAAATCTGTCCATCAACAACATGCCAATCAATTTTTTTTTTTGTTTTTAAAATCTTTTATAAACATAGTCAATTGCGTTTAGAACTGTTAATGGAATGAGATCTGGACAGGCTCGGGAATAGGGATGGGGATGGGATTTCCGTCTCATGTTCTGTGAGATTGGAATGGTATGGGATGTGTCATTTCTTTTCTTTCTTTTTTTAAAAAAACCATTGTAATTTTGAGGATGAATTTTTTATGTTATAATGTTTGTTTTTTGTTAAGCTTCCAAAGATGAAAATATTATAAAAAATATTATAGAGAGAACTCAATTATATAATGTAACAAAGGTATAAAAATAATACTGCAAAAAAAACACGTAAAAAAATACTATATAATGGCTTTATGAATTATTTTATTAAGGAAGAAGATTTTGTTGAGATAACACTGCATGTTAAAAGTGAAAATCACTACAGAAAATAATTTTTATTAATAAGTGATTTGAATAATATAATAATAATTATTAATAAATAATTTTTAAAAAAAAGGCCATAGGATTGACGAGACGAGTTTAACACTCCAATTGTGTTATTCCATACCTAATATACAATTTTTTTTCTTTTTTTCCTTCTCAAATGCCTGTAATATTTATAGCAAAACGAGGCACCCAACTCCCTCATAGTACGCGGCTAAAATTTCCGTCCTTCGAAATTATAAATTTAATCAAACCCAACAATAATTATCAGTCATCCTTCTCCGTGTAATTTTTTCTGTTGTTTATTTGAAATTTCTATAAGCATTTTCTCTAACTTTAAGTTATTTTTATGAGAAATATATTCTCTATAATGAAATCCCCAGCAGCCCACTGTTTAATTATCCTCTCGGTAATATATGAAGTCTCCTCATGATAAGTTTTCTTTTTCATTTGTTTTCTTTATGAAGCTTTTTTTTTTTTTACTTTATATTAGAAGTACCTTTATACTTGTGAACAAAATCATTTAAATTTGTGAGGAGCGCTATTTCCATTGTGACAACAGAAAATTGGAAGGCATTCATTTTGATCTGTTAAGAGAAAAATCAAATTTTTAAATGACGAATGGATTAACCGAATGACAGTGCACATTGATAATTAATAAGTTGATGAATACAGGCACAACAAAATTATGAATAATTCGATTGTCTTTTGTGTAAAATGATCACATTTCTAATTTTAATGAGCAGAACGATCAACTCTAATTTCCTCAACAATTCCCTGTTATATCAAAAAAAGTATTGGAGCTTTGGTAAACAATATACGTGAAAAGTCACATTTTTTTATTATTATTTTAATTTATTGTGACTATATAACTCATGTTAAACAATTTTGTATATATTTTTTTGGATAGGCCTGAAGCAGATCTTATAGAAAAAATAGTCACAGATGTATGGGCTTACATAATTCCTAAATTACCATCTCATGTTAACAATATGGTTGGGATTGAGTCAAGAGCAAGTGCTATGATGTCTCTCTTGGAGCCTTGGTTGGATGACAGACGTTTTGTAGGGATATGGGGTATGGGCGGGGTGGGTAAAACAACTCTTGCTAAAGTTGTTTTTGAAAAACTATCCCACGATTGTGAAGTGTGTTGCTTTCTTGCTAATGTTAGAGAAACATTCGAGAAAGAAGGCAAGGTCTCTCTGCAACAGAAGCTTCTTTTTCATCTCGAAAAGAAAGACATGAATATTTCTAATGATTACGAAGGAATGAAGATGATAAGAAAGCGTCTCTGCGATAAAAAGGTTCTTCTAGTCATTGATGATGTAGATAATGAGGATCAATTAACTAATTTGGCCGAAAGTCCAAATTGGTTTGGTAAAGGAAGCAGAATAATTTTTACAACAAGAGATAAGCACTTGCTCACCTCATCTAGAGTAGATGAGGAAAGAATATATGAGATGAAAACCATGAAGAAAGATGAATCTCTTGAACTCTTTTCAAACAAAGCATTCAACGAAGGCCATCCTCCTGATGAGGATTATTTGAAGTTATCAAATTCAGTAGTTGAACATGCAGCTGGTCTTCCTTTGGCACTTAAAGTTTTGGGTTCTTTTCTTCACGGAAGGAAAAAAGATGAGTGGAGAGATACTTTAGATAAGTTGAAGAAAAGTAATCTTGAAAAAATTTCTCAAGTGCTTAAAATAAGTTATGATGGATTGGATGAGCAACAACAGGCAATATTTTTAGATATTGCTTGTTTTTTCAAGGGTTACAGCAAAAAATATGTAACTAAAATATTGAATAATTGTGATCTTAACGCAACCATTGGAATAGGGGTCTTGATTGAGAGAACTTTACTAATTGAAACGAATAATGGCGCATTAGAGATGCATGATTTACTTCAAGAGCTGGGTAGGAATATTGGCAAGCATAGCAGGTTGTGGGAGTTTGAGGAAATTAAGGAAGTATTGGAAAATAACAAGGTGAGTGCCATATTTTCTAAATATCTCATTTTCTTGACATGCATTTAATGTTTTTAATGTTCTTTATTTTCTTATCATTCTCATGTTATTTTTCTTGCAAATGACATTTTTATTAGGGATCTGAGGCAATAGAAGCTATTTCTATGCGAGGTTGGTTTCAGTACGAGCAAGATAAAATAGAAGTACATCCTGAAGCTTTTTCAAAGATGAGTAACCTTAGGCTCTTCATATGTAATAACAATCCGTTCATCTTCCCAAGTGAATGGAAATTTTTGGCTGGTGCATTAAAAGTTGTTAGGTGGCCATATTCTCCTTTGGAAGCTCTTCCACTTGAAACTCAATTGAATCGACTTGTTGAAATGGATATGTCACATAGCAAAATAAAACAACTTTGGAACAACAAACATGTAAGATTGATGCTTCATGCATGATTGTTTATATTAAAATTATATCTTTGTGTTCATGTTTTATTGATATACTGCTTAGTTAGGCTGACTCTACCATCTTTTTTTTTATTCCAGCGTATGACAAAGTTGAAATCTATCGTATTGAAAAAGTCTCTCAATTTGATCGAAACTCCAGACTTCTCAGGTGCTCCAAATTTAGAACATTTACATCTTGGTGGATGCACATCTCTTGTCAAGGTTCATCCCTCCCTTGGACAGTTGGAAAAGCTTGTTGAGGTGGACTTGAATCATTGTGCAAACCTTGAAATCCTACCAAAAAAATTGGAAACAAATTCTTTGGTGAAGTTAAACCTTAGGGGGTGTAAAAAAGTTGCAAAGCTCCCAGAGTTTGGGGAAGGTATGAAAAAACGATCATATCTTAATGTGGATGCTACTTCTATAACTAGACTTCCTGAATCAATTGGATCCTTGACGGCTCTTGAATATTTAAATTTGAGTGGCTGTAAAATTGAAAACCTTGACAAGTTATTGAAGACTCACATAAGTCACCAAATTTCCGGCTGGAATGTAACGTCCTTAACAGAGTTATATTTAAGCCAGTGTGGCTTAGATGATGGATCGATTCCTGATTTTGACAGTTTATCATTGCTCACTGTATTGGATCTAAGCTTTAATGATTTTGAGAATCTACCCATTGGTTGCTTCTCTGGTCTTTCTCGACTTGTCTTCCTTTCATTGAATTACTGCAAAAGGCTTAAGTCGTTGCCAACGCTCCCACCACGATTAATTCGATTACATGCCTCCGGTTGTGATTTAATGGAACCATTATCATCAGATAGACAATTATGGGATTTGGTTGCTTCACTTGACCATGAGGTATGCGTTTCTCTTCCTACAACCTCTAATGTGTATTTTTCCCCCTTAAAACTGCAATTACATAACATGACTAATTTTTTATTTCAGTGTCGTGGGCGAACTATCGATGATGATTGGGATGAAGATGGGCTGGAAGATGTTCCTTCTGTGCTATATCAGGTATGTGTGTCTTATTTTTGTGTTTTTTTTCCCCACATATATGCTCCCTTCATGGGTAATTAATATTAATAACATATTATTTGATATGTTTGCAGGGACTTAAATGGCCTTCCAGAGATTTCTGTGCAAGTCTTCCAGGATACAAAATACCACCATGGTTTCTAAAGAGAGAATATTGCCCTTTGGATGAGCGGAATAGGGAATATAAGATTGAAGTGGACATACCTCCATATTTTCGTGACAGTGAATGGTGCGGAATTGTTGTGTGCTTCCGTATGTCAAGTTACAATGATGGTTCTGGGCTCATTGGTTGGGGTAGTAAAGCTGCAGAAGGTGATGATGATTATATAATCAAAGAGTGGGAGCGTGATATTCCTTATCCCATTTGCGGAGAGCAGTGCATAATAATGGTGTTGGAATTAAATGAGGAAACATGTTGGCGGCACCTAAGAGCTCATCAGAGCAATTCCCTTCACATTCTATTTGCTTTTGAATCTAAATGTTTTGATCAAGATTATTGGGAAGCAGAGGAATGTGGGTGGAGAGTGATACGTAAAGAAGAGATACAAGATTGGCGCCATCGAAATGGTTTCTTCAACCAAGCCAACCAACCCAAGCTTGCTTCTTCTGATGAGGTCAAGCTTCCGATGAGAGCACTTGTAGAGTTCTTTTTGGGGGAGTGGTTTTGACTCGCTGATTCAAGAACCAGAGAAAAATGGACGAGAATAGGTAACAATGACTCATCGTCTTCCTACTCCTTCCATTCTAATATGATAGTTGTCACTCCAGGATATTTGTCTTTGTTTCAAAAAATTTTGTCATTTGATGAGATTTTCAGAAAGAAACGGAATTTAATTAATTACCTCATCATAAATGAAAACTGAGCGCTTGTTAACATGAATAAAGGCATTTAATGAAGTGAAATACCATTGCATTTCGGTAAAATTTAAATCTTCTGTTATTTTCGTCAACACAAATCGAAAGTGATAATTCACCAGTGAAGAAAATCATTTTCTCTATAAAATAGAACAAGTCAAGCTCCATATGCTTTATACGATGATGAACCCGTGGATTTCATGAGAACAGTAACTAAATTGTAGGCAACATGCATGAATCATTCCTCTCATATAGTAGTAGTACTTGCGAGGATGCAAACACAGGTGTCAATAACATAATCATATCACTTACCATAATAAACTAGAAAAAAAACGACAATAAAAAGAACCAGATTTACGAAACAGAGTGAAGCTTGGAAACCTTCAATTTGGCTGGAAACACCCTCCCCTATTTCCAATTTCGAAAGAGAATAGGATCCAAGTTCCATGCATAACTACAAGTTTATGTTAGTACATAAAACTATACGACTTGGCTAGACAAATTAGATAAATTGATTTAATATTGATCATATCAAATGGCAATAAAATATTTTGGTATATAACGTGTTGATGTATCACTTACAAAGAAACAGAGTATTTAAAAATAAAGTGAAATAAAAAGACACGCCTCAATGTGCATGAGCAATTTGTTCGCAAAATTAATTATGTGTTGATATTAAAACCCAAAAAAAAAAAAGAAGAAAAATTCTATCATATGGATATGTTTATTTCAGGAAGAAGAAAAGAACAAATAAATGATAAAAAGTTCAAAAAGAAGAGATAAGTAGTTCATAGTTAGACAAACATAAACATACGTTTGGCATGAATTATATTTTTATGATGAAATCAAGTTGCAATAAGAATATATAAATATATTTATGTATGTACGCATGCACATAAAATTAAGTGGCTCACCTATTGATTACTTGTTCTATTTGTTTATTGTGTATATAATATAATAGGAAATAGATCATAAATAAATTCTATTCTTGATCACAGTGAAATAAAGGGATGTGGGTGGGGAGTGATGTGCAAAGAAGAGATACAAGAGTGGTGCCATCTCAATCATTTCAGCCAACTTCCTTCTCTTGATGCTGACGACGTCAAGCTTCCCCGAAGAGTGCTTCGCAAGTTCGCTGAAGCAATTCATTTGTTTGACCAAGATGAGGACTTCTAATCTCAAAATCATTTGTAAATTAATCGTCCAAAGATGATTTTCAATTTCACATTCTAAAATATTTATGTAATTCGATATATTGCCTAAATTTCTTGCAAGCAACCAAAAGAATAAACAACTTGCAGGGACACAACTTGTAGGGACAGTAGTTAATCAAGAGAATTCTGGACATAATTGGTAGAGGAAATTTTCCAAGTTCTAAGGAGAAAAAAAAAATCTCAACATTCGCTATCCTAAAACACTCATCTATATTTTTTTAATAATAATTAAGGGTTAAAATGTATCCCACAAAATATTTTTTCAATAATATTCAATATTTTTTCAACAATATTCAAAATATTTTAAGATGTTGGATCCACCAAATATTACTGAAAAATTAACATTCTTGGTGATATTGAAAAAATAATTTAGGTTGTTGAATGAAAATTTTATGATGCTGAACCTATCTTAACCCAACAATTAATTTCAATACACTTTTGTAGATACATACGCTTGCTTGGACAACTTTTTTAATATATGTATGTAGGGAAAAGCAAAAATAAAATAATAATAATAATAATAAATGAATAAAAAAGAAGCACTAGTTAATTAATACTTTGTTTAGAAAAGTTAACAAAGAACTTACCACATCTAAATAGAGAGAAAAATCTAATAAATGTTAGATTAATTTATCGAAAGGTAAATTCCTTAACCAATTCAAATGAGAGATTGAACTGTTCTTAGAATTAATATAGAGTGCTTAAATTTCATCTGAACAAAAAAAAAACAAAAAATGAAGGATTAATTAGTTAAGTAAGAATTTGTAAGAAAAGTGAAAGGAATTTTTAAATTATCTATGTTGTTAAAACAAAAATTTGGCTAGCTCAATCATAATTATCTCCAACGAAGATATAGATTCCATTGGCATATGTTCACTAGCTAGTTCAGTGAAGTTAATTCATAATGACAAGAACTAAAAAGACCGCTAATCATCAACATAATGAAGGGAATAATACTATTTTCGGTCCTAATTATAAGAGCTAGTTGACTAATTTGAGGAAATTAAGAAAATAAGTTACGTTAATTATTCGTAATAAATAGGCGTTATATTTTCTAAAATATTTTGCTAATCAAGTGTATCATTAACTAGAACTATTATTATTAGAAGAACTATCTTGAAAAAAAAATATATAAATATGAGAGACAAAGTGAATTGGGATTTTATATTTAGGACTAAAATAAAAGTCAAACGAGGTTTTATATTAAGGACCGGAGGTAGTAACAATAAACTCAAGTTCTCCTCGTCAAATTTGCATCAACGACGATAATCCACTGAGTATAGTATCTAATTCGTTTCACTCAGCTTTGACATATATATCTTAATTAATTTCATATATATGAACAATATCCATACTAAAAAGCTAAAAAACACAAGTGTTTCCACTCATTTTCCATGTCAATGATCAATAACGTTATTAGATAGGCAGACTATACTTATCCTAAAGCGTCGGTGATCAAATGACAATCCTCTATAATCCCTCCTACTATTCTACTCACAATGTTTCAACTGGAAGATTAGATTGGCCACCAAGCTAATAATAATGGATCTCTCCTTCCTTGGTTCTGTCTCCTTGAGCCATCACGATTACTGCTACTACTGACATTCCTTCCTCCACGAGTTTTACCATGGAAACTACCCTGTCTTAGAGGTGGCAGCTCAGGACAAGAGTTATGCTGAACCAGCAAAGGAAAAACACGGCCAGAGTTATAAAAATGGTTATCACAATAACATAACATCACAAATTACAGAGTATGAAATTACAATTAAAAAACAACAGAGTTATCACAATGACTGAACTGAAGAAAATAAAATGAACATGAGAAACATGTCTCATACTATTCCGTGTATCAAATTAATACTCATCACAAGTTGAAAACCCAGTTATCAAATGCTTGAGAAAGATTAATTAAAATTAATATCAGAAGCAGTGAAGCACCAACCTCTGCTTGTGTTAACTTGTTGAAATCAACGGTGGGATTGCCCCACTCTTGCATCTCTTCTTTACATAGCACCTGCCACCCACATTTCAATTGTGGGCTCTTGGAATATTGACAGGTAACCCTAAGTTTGATGTGAAGATACTACCCCTGATCTTAATTATAAGATTTTGTTTGTAGTCTATAAATAAAGTTTTATAATTAGAACCGGAGATAGTAGCTTTTATTTCCTCTTAAATGTTGCTAACAAAGATGATCCAATTCAAATGATGCGGGACAATAAATGCCCATTTGTGTTC